CTCGGGGCGTAGAATACACGAGCAACCGAGTCAGCGAGTATTAGGTGGACCGGATGAGCTGATGGTTCATAAATGGTAGCAAATGGACCGGAGGAGGAGCAGCTATCGGTTCACACTGAATGAACAAAAAGTACACCAGATACCGTGCGACTTCTTTCAGTGGATGGCCATACAAAGGGATTGGTTTCATTCGTCCTTGAGAAGCACTGATGGGTCTATTTAAACTACTGGAAAAGTTACTGACGTGCTGTGTACTTCTGGCTGACAACGCCGTGTGGTTGTCAGGTCGCGACAAAGATTCACAACTCAGAAGACCGCAGATCTGTGGACATTTTATTCGCTGTCGTTTCTACAACAGTAATTAGGATTATAATTTATTTGTTATTTACTAAGTCACCCTTTCAGGGTGAATAGCCTTTTAGCTGGCGTTAAAACGTAATACATTAACTTAATTCAAAAGTTATCTGAATGGTACCGTAGACAATCTTGTAAATTTGAAATTAAAAGGCTGGGAAATCTTGAACTGTTTCGGCCGTCAGCAGAAGGAACACATATAAAGCGTAATGTTAAAATGTTATTTAAACTATTGCCTTCTTACAGCAGAAAAATATTTTGTTATTTTCCTATTAACTCGCCGGTTTCATGTATGTAAACATTTTTCTTTTCGTAGATTGTGGAGTAAAAATAGTGGAAATTAATTGCGTTATTTAGGCCTTCAATACGTTCAAACGTTTTTTCTGCATCCCAAACAAACCACAGCTTTACAACAGGAGAAATCTATACACACAACGTTGTGTAAATACAGAGAAATACTGTCTGCTAGAACTGATATTTTTATCCAAATTTTAATATGAACGGAATTATCAGTGTAACTGAAGTGTTAGCACTGTTATTAAGAAGTTTTATGCGAGATTACAGGTTCTCACTGCGGGGAGTCAAAGATGGCTGTCTTGTGGATTATTACAAAGTGTAGTACACGTATTTGTTGTCTCTCTAAAACGTCGGTAAACGTCTACCGGACAACGCTAAGCAATAACCCAGAATACAGCAAGCAATATTCAACTGCTGTTAGGACATAAGTTGGCGCTGTGATATATCAAGGCCAATAGTGCAGAGATCACTTACCAACGTCGCAGACAAGGGAGCCAGGTTCGAGCTCTGATAGGAACTGCTTGACCTTCGGCCACGGCTGCCCTCGCTGTCTGTCTGTCGAGACGCCGGTCGGAAGCTGCGTGTCAGCAATCTGTTCGTACACTTCGTGAACATAGGCTTTCTCCAAAGCGACGGAGCGGGCCTCGCGTTCTTCGGCCCCCGACATTTTCGAGGTCACCCGCTCGTCATCTGGAACAGCGAGTTAGCCATTTAGCATCACCGACCGCTGCAGTATTCGTCTCCACATTAGCATAGAGAAAAATTATGAACGCAAATACACAGTTATAATCACCTTCTTTGATTCCAAAATTTTCTCATCTCCTCATATGACATACGTTTCTTAATTCTTTGTCATATGGCGTTTGCGTATTTACTCACTCGATGGAGCCGAGTCTTTCCTGAGAAGACAAGAATCCCTCAGCCACTCAATAAATTCCCAACTTTTTTGGAACCCGAAGGTTCATTACCGTGTTAGCAAGATCCCGCCACTGGTCCCTATCCTAAGCCAGATGAATCCAGTCCATACCACTCCATTATATTTATCTAAGATTCATTTTAATATTATCCTTCCACCTACGTCTGTCTTCTTAGTGGTCTGTCTCCTTCTGGTTTGCCCACCAAAACCCTGTACGCATTCCTCTTCTCTCCCATGTGGGCTACATGCCCTGCCCATCTTATCCTCCTTGACTTGATCCGTCTAATTATATTTTGCGAGGATTATAACTTATGAAGTTCCTCATTATGCAACTTTCTGCAGCCTCCAAGTAATTCATCCCTGTTCTTAAACACCCTCAGTCTACGTTCCTCCCTCAGTAGACCAAGTTTGACACCCATACAAAAGGATAAATTATATTTTAATATTTACGTTCTTGGACACCAAACGGAAAGACTAAAGTTTCTGAATTCAATGGTAGCAAACATTACCCGAATTTAATCTGCTACTAATTCCTCATTAGTCAAATTTTGATTTCTTAATGTCGCTCCCAAATATCTGAACTTCGCCACATTTTCAAAGGATCCATTAGCTGTCTTTATGTTACGATTTTGACCTGCATTCTGGTGACGAGACATCAACATATACCTCGTTCTCTCTGAGTAAACTTCTAGAGCACTATGGCGTTTGCGTGTGGCTCTAAAGTCGTGATTCTTTCGTTACCGTGCAAATATTCGTCATTAAGAATATCTATATATAATATGTATTGCAGGTTAAGTTCCCTGGTGTGGTTTTTATTTTTAAATATACAAATTTTCCTTTCTTGAGCCACCAAATAGTATTAGGTTAACCATGCATTGAGCTGGAAAATGTACAAACTGCATTGTTGCATGAATTTTTGAGAACAAAACAGCACTTTAATAAATTAATTGAATTGAATTATTATTATTAATGACCCCAGTGAGTTCTATAGCCAGTTTTCTGGCAACAAATGAAACAGATAAAAGACATGGCAGACAACAGGTGTCAACTGCCCATAACACGAAGAAAAGGGACATTAAGACTAAGGAAGTATTTTTTGTTTTGAAGCAAAAGATGTAATTAAAAAGTGGAATGGAAAATTGATGGATAAAAAGTACGAAAAAGGAAATAAATTTCTGCATGTCTAGAAACATTTGTACAAAAGTTGTTTGAAGTAACTTGTCCAGTGCATGAAATGCGGACGTTTGAAATTAGTCCTTAAAGCAAAATCTGAGCAATGACTGGACAACACAGTCAAAATGCAACGTTGTCATGAATCATTTTTAATACTCGTGAATATCTCTTCTTAAATGTTCTCGGAATTGGAGACTTAAATGATTTTAACACGCCAACATACGAAAGCGTACATTTAATCGCTGGTATCAGTAAGACTGAACATATAAATCAGGTCAAATTTTAACCTTAAACACTTAATAACTTCTTATCCAGGTACAAATATTTGTTATAAAAGTACACATATTGTTGATATTAATTAACAATGTTGCCAGTAGCTCGGACTTTTGTAGTCTCGCGCGATAAGTCGATTAATGAGCAATGAATCCTAAAGAATACGGAAGGAATCGATCGTCATGTAATGTAAGGTGCCTTTCCGGCAATTGGATTAACGTCATCGATATTACGTAAGTGGTGTTATTTTGTGTCATGCGGCAGCTGAAACCATATTTGTTATCGATAATGGCTCGGCATATGTGAGGAAACTTAAATGTTATGACAAAGCCTTTTTAGGTAAAACTGTAATAATTACTGGGTTGTGGTCTAATGGGTATTGAATATTGTTGTTCGACGCACTTGCAACGCCCGAACTAGGACACTTTTTAGGGGCACGGCCCGCCTACCCCATGTCGCAGGGGCGTTTAGCAGAAGTGATCGCAACCCTTCTGGGATTAACTCTGAGATTTCAATCAGATAAAAGTTATCTTGGCAAGGACGAATTTTCTGATGGTAAGCTTTGTCGCGGTCAAAGCTTCAGATCATACAATGCCTGATTATGTCATCCTCCACCTATTAGTATTAGCCCCTATTCTAAAAATTTCATTGCCTCCAGCCAAGACAGCCCGATGGCGTATGCCCTGTTATTGTCTGCAAGGCTTTGTTTACATTGATTAGCGTTTCACACAGGAATGGTGTGACGTAACAAATCAAGTCTTGCGCTTGCGCAGGACTCCGCTCTTAGCTTCTCAAGACGAAAGTCTTTGTATTTGGACTGCTTTCAGAAAGAAACTGGATATTGGGATACTGGGAACGACCCGTTCTTCAAGTGCCTGAGCACTGCAGGTCCCAACTTTTCGTTGGCTCGATCTATAGACATTCGGTAGGACTCCTTGGATGAGGGATCGGCCCGTCGCAAGACCTCTACCTGTAAACAGGACAGCACAGCACAGAAAAACGCCGACAAACATCCATGGCTTGAGTGGGATTCGAACTCACGGTCCCAGTGACCAAGCGGCACAAGGCCCACGCCTCAGACCGCGCGGCCACTGTGTCCCCAGAAACAAACACTGCCATTTAAAATAAGAACAGCAGCAGTGGACGCAGGCATGCAGCGTGTATCTGCGGAACCAATAGGCCTTCCAGACTTTCATAAAATCAAACATGGCCGCCTTGCGTAAATTTGAACTGCGAACAACTCCAGTGGCTCTCAGTGGACGTCTATGAACATTTGTATCGTCATAAATCTTTAATAATATGCTTGGAGATTTTACGGCAGTTAATTTTGTATTACATAAACACTGAATGATATTATATTTCTAAAATAAACTGAAGAAAGCCTAGACGTGGAAAGCCAACATGTTCCTAGTCCCTGGTGGCCATGATAATTCTCTCCGTCATTATATAACACGTTTAAAATTTAAAATCCAACGGATACACAGTCCGGGAAATCGATACTGGTGAAACGTACGAACTAAATCTGAAAACGTAGCCTTCTGTTTCCTTCTCTGTCGTCGTTTCAAGCGGTTTTGTCCTACCGATATTGTTTGGGTGTAATGGGATAGAATAATTTATAGAAACGTGTCCAAGACATTCGCTTTACCCATATATATCATTCCAGTTCAACAAAACATTTGGAATTTGCACTAAATAAAGTAAATTTCAAATATATTTTCTGCATTCGTTTACACTTTCATACGGCATGACTCTCAGAAATTACACTTTAAAAACTGGTTCTTTTCTGATAGTCTGGATGTAAATTCACTGCACATAAAACCAGTCTGTTCCTATAGTTATTTTACCAGTCTTATGCTTAGCTCCTGTGGTAGGCGCCGTTAATTTGTAATGTGGAGAAACACATAAATATATTGTTTGCAGAGCTCATTATAAACACAGGAATTTATTTTTTGTACTTCGTTAAACAGTAAAGGTTTGTTTAAAATGATGTAGAAGTACTTTGGAACTTCATGTCGTGAATAGTAGACCCTACTCGGATTTGCGCATCGTGATTTTGTTCATTGGGGGAAAAAATATTATGGCAATATTTGTAAATTGCGGTCTTGGTCCCTCGCTCTTTCGCGGTCGCTCTTACGCAGGCGCACGGAATAGTAAACAACAGCGTTATCTTCCCGTCTGTATCAGTAGCTACGAAGATATCTAACTTCTGTTGTGCAGAGGGAAAACAAAAGAACTTTACACTTTCAAAATTAACAGAAAACAAATGCGGTGTAATTCGATCTTCGCACCAATCGATACAGACTCTCGAAGTTTTGTTTCAAATAATCCGGGTGATCGCTGTTGTTACGCGCCTCCGCTAGGTGCCACTAGTTTTGAAAATGGCTACCACACGACAGAGGAGTTCGTGTGTTCTGTTCTGAAGAAAGAGTCTGTAACAGTTGCGCAACGTGCATTTCGCACACAAATTCACATAGAATCACCCAGCCGAGTTTCTACTGTCGCAAGCTTTGCCAGTGTTGAGGTAGCGAATCACAACATCCATAGCTTCCATCACTAGAGACTCTCTCTACAAAGTATGGGACGAGTTGGACAATCGTCTCGACATCTGCCGTGTGACTCGCGGAACACACATATCGAGTCTCTGTGAGGTGCGTACAAAACTTTAAGAATTTTTCTATCGATTGGTGTATGTGTAAAGTTCTAAGTACGCCGCATTTATTTTCTGTTAGATTTTTAAAGTCCAAAGTTTTTTGTGCCCACCCAGTACTTTTCTCTGTTCGATCACCCCGACAAATTTCAGCCAGTAACGCCGATGACATAATGTTTAACACTGACATCAATGTTTTCATGTTTATTGATCGTTAATTATGCATATTAATTATCGTGTTTGCTTGCCCTTCCCCTAACCCCACTTCTTTTACAAGTTCCTAACTTCTCGCATCGCACCTCTACCGTTCGAGGGGATTATCAAGACGGTTACTCCCGCTAACCGCGAGAGAGTGCTGTTAGCACACCACACACATCAGGCTTACTATCAGATCAAATGCGATTTCAGTTACTTGTAGAATCTGTCGATTTGTTAGAATTGTGACGTCACCCACATGCCAAGTTGTTTACCGACTGAAGTACTTTAATAATGATAGGATTCTACTCGCTGTAGTTTACTGAACTATCGGCTGCTTGTCGCTTCAGTATTCTTTAATAAATTACCCAATCCCACTTTTGTGCTTGCGGTATGACGTCAGTCAGTATGATCACATGACTGTCGTTTTATGTTTTGAAGATTAGTTTTGAACTATTCAGTTAGCTTCTCATAATAATACACGCT